CTTTCTTGAATGGAGAGCTTGAAGAAAAAATCTATATGTATCAGTCTGATGGATTTGTAGCAAAAGGTCAAGAGGATAAGGTTTGTAAATTGTTAAAATCTTTGTATGGCCTAAAGCAAGCTCCTAAGCAGTGGCATAAGAAGTTTGACAAAACTTTGACATCAGCTGGCTTTGCTATGAATGAAGCTGATAAACGTGTCTATTATGCCTAAGCTATGGTGGGGGAGAAGGTGTAATTTTGTGCTTGTATGTGGATGATATTTTAATCTTTGGAAATAATATTAATATGATCAAGGAAGTGAAAGACTTTTTGTCTATTAATTTTGAGATGAAAGACTTGGGTGAGTCTGATGTTATAATTTTTAAGATAAAGCTACTAAGAGAAGGAAATGGTGGGATAACACAAGTGCAATTCCATTATGTAAAAATGGTACTAAATTGCTTTGGATATAGTGATTGCACGTCTTCTCCAACTCCCTATGACCCAAGTGTGCTATTAAGGAAAAATCACAAAATAGCACGGGATTAATTGAGATATTCTCAAATTATTCGCTCACTTATGTATTTGGCTAGTGCAACAAGGCCTGATACCTCGTTTGTTGTGAGCAAGCTTAGACGGTTTGTTTCAAATCTGAGAGATACACATTGGCATGCTCTTGAGAGGGTGTTGCGCTACCTGAAGGGAACTATGAGCTATGCCATTCACTATACCGGGTACCCAAGGGTACTGGAGGGTTATAGTGATGCTAACTGGATAGCCGACGCTGATGAGCTTTATGCCACAAACGGATACACGTTCTTGCTTGGAGGTGGCACTGTTTCCTAAAAGTCTTGCAAGCAGACCGTTTTAACGAAGTCTACAATGGAAGCAGAACTCACAGCATTAGACACCACTGACGCTGAGGCCAAGTGGTTTCGTGAACTCCTAATGGGTTTATCGATAGTTGAAAAACCGATATCAGTTATCTCCATGAACTATGATAACCAAACGGTGATAATCAAAGTAAACAGTTCTAGGGACAACATGAAGTCTACAAGGCATGTGAAAAGGCGATTAAAATCTGTCAGAAAACTGAGAAACTCCGGAGTAATTGTGTTGGACTATGTCCATACATCTAAGAATCTGACAGATCAGTTCACAAAGGGTCTGTCACGCAATATGATTGAAGGTGCATCGAGGGAATTGGGCTTGAGACCCACTTGAAGTCATTCCATAGTGGTAACATGTCCTATGTGATCGGAGATCCCATGAAGTAGAATGGTGAAACAAGCTAGTGGTTGACTGAGGGAGAGACCCCTTATGTTAAAGTCTGAATCGTTTGAGATGCACTGTTTCTCCAATGTTGTATGACAGGATGGTTAATTCCTTAATGTGATCCGAGTGGCTTACTTAAGCAGGGATGTTGTCCTACAGAACATCCTAGAAAAAATACACCTATATGAGTTTGAATGCTAGTCATAATCTATGAGATGTGGGTAATCTCTATATACTCATGAAAGGCCTAGAAGTGTGACTTATATGCTTCAAATAGAGGAGATGTTTGTTGCAGCCTAGTATCAAATAAGAACTTTAGTGAAATTCACCTCACACAAAACTGTCAATTCTAAGCCATAGTCCATTATTCAGTTATGACTGAGTGTAACTACAGCTCTAGATGGATGTTCAATTTAACGGTCTCCATATAAACTCTGGTATATCAAAGAAATGTGATTTTAAGACTATTTTACTATGAACCCTAGAGTTTGGTGGGGATTATTGGATATATTATAGGCTTGGCCATATAATATTTAATAAATCAAATAAACTCTATGACCCGTAATAATGCGCGATGTATGGTTTAATATTGTACAGAATTTTGACTAGACGTTGACTCAGTTTATATGGTTGGATATTGTCTATATATATTGAGAAGCTGAGAAAAGGACGTTGGTGTGCCACACGCGCGCGCCGCTGCTGGTCGGCCCGGGCCGTGGGTGCGGCATGGCACAACGAGCGGATGGGAGTGATTTTGCCACTCAATCCACATAATTACGGGAGTTACTTTTTTTTATGTTGATGGCGGCTTCATTGCGGGAGTTTCGTCTGTTACTGTCGTCTCTGTCCTTCTGCGTCCGCATGCCTTCTCCGTCCTTTGATCTCCTGAGCTCATTCATTTTTCTGGCCGTGAGCATATAATACCAGCTCCTCTGTCGGTCATTCTTCTTCGCTTCTAAGACACCACATATTCAGTTGCTCTCTGGTTCTTCCCGTTCTGGTTCCTACGCGCACTGGAGCTGGGAGAGTAGGCCTCCGAAACGTCTGCCGTCTTTGAGTTCGCATGCTCGGGTGAAGGGCGGCAATCACGTTTTTGGGGAGTGTCATTAACGGCACGACTACTCGCTGTCCTCTACTTCCTGGAGGATCGCTGGTGGTCGGCATGACTTCTCATCTGCATTGCATGGACAAGCACTATGTCTTCGAGTGCATCCGGCTCTGGCGCTGGGTATGTCTATGGAACAAACCTCTTAATGTCTTAGCTATCAATCATTAGTTTGAGTATCATCTGCATGCTCATCACGTTTAAAACACACAAGTACATATATGACGTCACCAACATATTCATATTGTTTTATGTCTTTTTTTCTGGATTAAATTGTTACTACAATTGCTTAATATTCTCACAAGAACAGTCAGACTGAGGCATTGTCCGATGGAGAAACAGCTGTGATGATAACCGAAAAAAAAACAGAAGAAACAGAGCACCCAACTCTTTCAGACCACTCAGGCCCCGATCGGTGGTCTAAAACTTGGCTAAAATTGGCTGGTTTTATGAGAGAGAAATACTATAATGGCTGGTTGATAAATAGTGTTTACCGAGCGATCAGCCGGCTGGTCTTCATCGATTTGTTATTAAAAATATAGAGAAAATAGATGCCCAGCTTTATCTTGTCCCTTCGTCTAGACTCTCGACGGTTCTCGAGTCTCGACTCTGGGCATTCCGCTAGCCACCGCCGCACATGTTCCTCATCGGCTCATTCGCATAACTGCATCCAAAGTGCTGGCGCTCTCATGAAGCCCCGCGGCGGCATCCTGGAGCTCGTCCCGGTCGACGTGGAAGACGGAGGCGGGGCCCGACTGCCGTTGCGGGCGGAGCGCGCTCGTGAGGAGGCGCGACGGTGGTGAGAGCCTCAGCCAAGTCGTGGGGAAGGCGAGGGCGCCGCCGTTGTCTTCTACCTCTGCCTTCTTCCTCTGGACATGGAGATGGCCTGCTGCAGTGAGCTCGCGCGCATGGGGAGGGAGAGGGCCGGGCCGTCGGCCGGCCGGCGCGGCGCAGGTCCCACGCTGCGCATAGGCCCCAGGCACGAGGTGCGCTGGCCCGTACGGGCGGTGCCCGAGCGGCTCCGGCGGGCGGGCGGCCGTGCTCCAAACGCGCACGGGAGGGGCGGGGCTCCGGCCACGGGAGCCTGGGTCAGCCGGGCCGGTCGGCTGCGCGGCGGTGGCAGGCGCGCGCGAAGGGGCGCGGAGGCGCTGGGTCCGCCGGTGGAAGTACCAGCGCCGGCGGGGATGGGAAGAAAGGAAGCCGCTGATTTTTACAGAGGCAGGGGCAATCTTGTAATTTGGCAGCTTGCGTTGGTTTGCGTGCCCAAACCTGGGACATGTTTAGTTGTACCAAATTTCTAACTTTGACACTATTAAAAAGAAGATTCTCAGTCACATCAAACTTGGGGTACATGCATGAAGTACTAAATATTGACGAAATCAAAAACTAAGTTTGGTTGTACTTTGTAAGACAAATATTTTGAGCCTAATTAGTCCGCGATCGAACAATTAATATCCAATAAAAACAAAATTTGCTTTTATCGTATTATATAGGCAGGGGCAATCTTGTAATGTCGGCGCCCATTCGGGGCAACTAAATACGGCCCTGGATTTGCTTTTATCGTGGGACGGAGGGGTATATATATAATATATGGAAAAAATATATTTAATCTCCCACCTTTCATACTTGGTCTATTTCACCCCCAACTATGAAACCGTCTGTTTTACCCTCTGAACTTTTCAAAACCGTCTATTTTACCCCCGCGTGGTTTTTTTTACCGCTGACAAATTTTTTACTGTAGCCTTAGATTAATTGGAAAATTTAATTTTGTCTGTAATTAATTGGAATAATTCATAGCTGCAGCTTCTATGGTCCAATTATGGTGAAATTTTATGGTACGCTAATTATTGTATGCTTGAACTATAGTAAAAATTTCGTACTCATTGGATTATGTATAACTTAGTTATAGATAAATTCTAATTAATTATAGAAAAAATTAGATTTTTCAATTAATTTAAAGCTAAAAAAATTGTACTAAAGCATACCGTATTATATATTCATTGTGTAGATCTACTCACGTGGAGTCCAATAAAATTAGATTTTTCATTTTATGATTTACTATGATTTTTCAAAAATTCATCGAAAATAAATTAAAAAAAAATTCAAACCCACCGGCACTATAGCAAACCCACCGTTACTATAACAAACCCGATGTTACTGTAGCAAACCGCTATCAAAAACCATCCGATGGGTAAAATAGACGGTTTTGGAAAATTCAGGGGGTAAAACTGACAGTTTCATAGTTGGGGGTGAAGTAGACCAAGTATGAAAGGTGGAGAGGTTAAGTAGACTTTTTCCTATAATATATATATAAAGTGCGTACTCTGAGTAAAAAGCTTTCGCTCTAAACGGGATCTGTAGAAGCATGCCAGTGACAAGCTTTACGCTCGTTTGGGCAGTACGAGGAGACCGTGACTGGGACCTTCCGGCCTATATATCCTCGAATCTAGGACCTTCATTGCCTCAGAAAGAAGAATGGTTGGAGGAGCAAGAGAAGAGCTTTACATTTAATCAATGGTTGTGTGGTTCACTCATCAGCATCACCATCATCGATCAGCCTCTCATCCGGTTGTGTCGTTTACAAAAGAGCACCAGCCACGCCGAATGGTGACGGTGCCTCACCTCACCAGTCGCCACTAACTATACTATACACCTACCACGGCTTGAGGTCATCCCGGGTCCCTCGGTCCAGTTGAGCACCTTCTGCCCGGGCTTGAGGAACACGCCCTTGCCGTGGGGCAGCTTCCGCGCCAGCCCGTTGAGCACCTGGTGGAACGCGTCCCTCGGCTCCGCGGGCTGCGGGAACAGCATCGCCTGCTTCATCGATGGGTTCGCCAGCAGCCGCTGCTTGCGGAGGATCTCCTCCATGGGTATGGACGTCAGGATGGTGTCCAGCTTCAGGATGTCGTCCTCGGCCACGAACACGCCGATCTCCTCCCACGGGATCGCGTCCGCGAAGGGGAGCACGATGTCGTCGGCGATGATCACGGGGATGCAGCCGAACACCACGGCCTCCACCAGGCGGGGGCTCCATGGCGCCCACCCCAGTGGGCACAGGCAGAAGATGGCGCGCTGCATGTCCTCGTAGTAGGTTGGTGGGTGCTCTGTCGAGATGTCGAACAGAGCGTTGTTCTTGAAGTTCTCCCATACTGACGCACGGGCGCCCCTGCATTGCATACACACGGTAGGAGGTGCGTCAAGACTTTCGAATCAATGATTCATTCACTAATAAGACTCCTTGTCAGGTACATTGTTTAGGTGCGTACCTTGCATAGTAACCGCCCTCGGGATCATTTGCAGTATCATAGAACAGACCACGGAAGTAGACAAAGATTGACCGAGGGGTCTCTGGTGGAACAATGTGAGTTCTCATCTTATGAGGAGGAGCATACGGTGGGATGGTGATGGAGCCTTCCTTGAGGCACGCATGATTCTTCTGCCCAAAAGTCTGGACCAGCGTAGCACGGCGCAGCACCGGAAGGACACCTCGCTGGATGGCCGTCTCTTCCTTAACAGTAGGACAGTAGGAATTTTTAGTACACGGTATGTGGATGATGCTAGAACAGATGCTGTGTATATATGGGGAAATGACTAGGCTGGAATTCGATTTTATGACTTTGCATTCCTAGTTGCATTGGTATTCATTCATGGTTTATGGCTCTGTGACTCACCTGGAAATAGAAGCATGCTCCAAAGTCATGCGGCGTGACAAAGAAATGGTCTGCTCCCTCCGTCCTGTTCCAGTAGGGCCAACGCTTTGAAATATACTGAATCGCACTTCTCATCATTCGTGGAGACTTCGTAGTCAAGGGATGACCCCAAGGTGTAAGGTCGCAGGTTGTGTATACTGGAGTATAGAACCAATCAGCTTCGTCCGGATTCAAAGTCCGGACCGCGCTCGTCAATAGGAAGCGATGCATGAATATCTCTGTAGCAAACATGTGGCTGAGGCATCGCGAATCTTTTGCCAGTATGTTCTTGTTGTACTTGGGGGGCAACTCATAGACATATACCTTGAGCCTTCCAACAGGATCATCTTCAAGCACATCACCAGCACTTCCTGAAATTTAATCAGATCCACACTAAAAAATGAGGATTATGCACCTTAATACCATGATCAATACAATGATGTTCTGAGTGGTGGCTGATGGTAAATGGCTTGATCCCCAGAGCTCTCAAGCGAGGCCTTAACTCTGATTATTTTGGCCGCTTGGTCTCTATGGAAACATTGAAATAACGCGGTGTTCAATGGAGCCAACACTAGTATACAGGTAATTCTTAGAAAAATCACCGAGGAAGTCCATCTCTGGTGTCTAGCTGAGGTTTTATTCATTTGGAGGTCCTGGCTCATAAATAGATTGGCTGGTCATGTTTGTGCGTTGTCATAAGAAGCGCAAATGTAATTGCTTCTAGCTGAGGTGTGTGTGTTTTGGGGGTATCGTAAACTCTGTTCTTCTTCTTAATGCAATGGTACACAGATATCTTGCCTATTCGAGCAAAAAAACCATGATCCTAATACAATGGAGTCTAACAGTTTTGTGAAAGTATTTTTTTTTCAGGCAAAGCATAACTGAAACTATACAGCAAGTAGGCACACAAGCAAGTTATGCAGAACTCTTTTAGTAGGGTCAGGGTGCAGCTAAATATCACATCAATTAAGAGTTTGAAGGATCCCTGACAGTTCTATGAAGCCGATAAGTAATAAGTGTAGTTAGTAGGCAAAACATGTACCGGAAACCATATCTTAGGTGGAAAGATAGAGATGAATTCAAAAAACACAATTCAGTGGCTCGGATTTTTTTAGTTGCGAGTGCAAACTCGTTTTTGAATTCATAGGAAAATGACAAATTTGAGGTAATCGAGTTTGTCATTTGGAGCACAGACAAGGTAGGATCATGATCCATTGCAGATGCATCAAACAGCAATGGCAGGTCTGATCTCAGGATTTCAATTCTGTTCCTTCAATTTCCAGGATGAAACAATTCCTTGTGCACGCTGACCGCTTCACTGAGTCGAAATGGGAGCACCTAGTTCGTTCATGGATTAACAAAGAAAGCGTGGAAGCATCTCTGTCAGTAACACCTAATCTATCTCGCCAACTACGCGCCCGCTCGCCTTCCCAAGACCTCGCAGGATTCGTCGCGCGACATCAGATCCACTCCGGCCAGCAGAAACGCGGGAGACAAGCACGGATTACCCAGATCAACACCCAACCGCAGGCAACGCATAATTCACTGATCGGATCAAAGAGAAGCAGAGGACGACGAAGTAAGCAAGGGCGAGGCCGCGTACCTTGGATCCTCTCTGTCTCCTGCGCCACGACGACGGCGACGTCGGAGCAGGCGAGGAAGGCAAGGCGGCGAGCACCAGCGCCTGCGCCGTCGCGCTCCCCGTCCCCATTAGCCTGAGCGCCTGCCTTCCCTTCCCTCCACTCTCGGCAGTTGCTCAGGCTTAACGCGGAGTCCGGGAGAGGTAGTCCGGGAGAGGTGGTAGGCAACTGGCGGCGTTCTTGGCAGGCAGAGAGAATAGACTAGGCGCCCGGCCGCAGAGTCAAAGCGAGTATGGCAGGGGTGATGGTGTTGGTGGTGGGCTGGTGACCGTGCTCGCTGTCGGCGGAGGTGGTGGGTGCCTGCCAGGTTCCCTGTGTTTGTTTGCAAGATGACGACTTTTTGCATTCCCATGTACTACAACTCCTACCGGCTACCAGCACTCCAGCAGTGGTTTTGTCCTTGAAAATAAATAAATAAAATTCCAGGAAAGTGGTAGTACTAGAATATTGCTGGCACTGCCTCCTCCTTTTTTTTGCAACATTGTTTCGCTTTGCTTAGGTCACACTTCATGCCATCTTTTAAATTTTTCCTTTAAAAAAATCTTTTTTCTCCTCGTTACCTACTATATTTGACTTGGATCGTCTGATCTACCTAGTGTTAGGTGGTCGTTTTCGTCGTCTTCTCCAGCCAGTTAGGTAGATCATGGCACGCCATAATTTTTTTCAACCTTCTCACTCCTTTCGTTGACCTCACGAACCAGTCACCACGCCTTACTGAAGTTTTTTTAAAAAAAATACAAACTCCTACCATTTCCAATGTTTGTGGCCATTTAGGAACATAGCACCAGACCCAAGTACACAACAGGCGACCTTTCTAAGATACATTTCTGAACTGCCATCAGTTACCATTTCAGTTCGGGGGTGACATCCCAACTAAGTGCAGGTCCTGATGTTGACCTCATTTCCTAACCTATCTACCACCACCATCTTTGCACCACCAACCAGCAATCGTTCTCTAGGTTACTGCACTCACATCACAGGGGCAATCGCAATTTGCACCAACATTCCTTGAGAACTCAGCAACATTCAGTTAAAAGACCGAAGTTGACGTGCTGCCTGATCAGCAGATCGGACAGCCTTCCCTATGAGGATCTTGCTCCAGATAGGCCCCGTTCGCTTTGCTGAAAAAACAAGCCAAAACACTGCTCTGGCTGATTTGTTGTGAGAGAAAAACACTGTTCCAACTGAAAAAACACAATGAAAAGTATGGCAACTGCAGTGCAGTAGGATAATGAAATGAGATCAACAATCAGCATGAGTAGTACAATCTTATAAATTTCATTTATGATATATCCACGTATGGTCGACAGGGCTTGGCACTCTTATATCATCTAGTGAATGAGAAAGGGGAAAAAAGAAATGAAGACATATATAACAGTTATAGAAGAAAAAAAACATACAAAAAATGTACATTTGGCTTGTGGTCAGCACTATGTGCACCCATTGTAATTCAAAGGCACAGGTATATATAATCATGTTCTCGATACTTCCTTTCCGAAGAAGTCACATCCATCTCAGTTCCACAAGATGCTACCAAGGCTTCAGGTCGCCAGGTGGTCCAGCGGTCCAGTTCAGGACCTTCTCACTGGGCTTCAGGAAGACATTGCTACCGTGCGGGAGCTTGCGCGCGAGACCATTAAGAATCTGGTGGAATGCATCTCCTGGCTGAGCAGGCTGGGGGAACAGCATGGCCTGCTTCATCGACGGGTTCGCAAGGAGCCGTTGCTTCCTCAGTACGACATCTGTGGGAATGGATGTCAGGATGCTGTCCAGCTGCGGGACATCCTCCTCAGCAACGAAAACACCAATATCCTCCCATGGGATGGCGTCCGCAAAGGGAAGGACGATGTCATCTGCGATGATCACCGGGATGCAGCCAAAGACCACCGCTTCCACTAGCCTAGGACTCCATGGTGCCCAGCCCAATGGGCACAGACAGAACACTGAACGCTGCATGTCTTCATAGTATGTTGGTGGGTGATCGGTCGAGATGTCAAATAGCGGGTTGTTCTTGAAGTTCTCCCAGACTGATGCACGAGCACCTCTGTAGAACAGGCAATGTCATCAGAGAGTAGACCCAGGAAGCAATGGGAGGATGGAAAACGAGCGAGGTGTCAATTGCATTGCTTGTACACAGATATAGATGAATTACCTTGCATAGTAACCGCCCTCGGGATCATTGCCGGTGTCATAGAACAGACCTCGGAAATACACAAAGATGGATCGAGGGGTGTCTGCGGGGATAAGGTGAGTCTGCATTTTCTGAGGAGGAGCATATGGTGGGATGGTGATGGAACCATCCTTCAGGCAGACATGGTTCTTCTGTCCAAAGGTCTGAACCAGCGTAGCACGCTGAAGCAAGGGAAGGATTCCCCGTCCGATTGCTTTCTCTTCCTGATACAGTGGAAGCGCTTATTAGTTATTACAGAAACATCAAGATATTGAAACACAGTAACAGTAGTCAATTGGAAGTGTAGTAAGTGGTTATTTTAACTAGGTGGTTAGTGAACATGAATATGGATATCAGAATGATATCTAAGTAAACTAAAATCTGGGGCATGTTTCTTCTACAAGGGGCAAAGAACGTGTGGAGCCTGAACCAATTAAGTTAGAGTAGTTCATTCATGTTGATACAAGCATCTTGATACCCCTATCGCCCCCATGTTTACTGCCAAAATTAGACATATGTCCCATTAGTTTTGGCACAACGCACTACTAAACTATCATTGCTGAATGCTAGACATCTAACCTTCATTAGTATTAGTAGAAGGATAAATAAATGCATGCAACCGCTACTCAATTAATCTACTAGCGTTGTACCTGATAATGAAAGCAAGCACCAAAGTCATGGGGTGTGACAAAGAAATGATCAGCGCCTTCTGATCTATTCCAGTAAGGCCAATTCATAGCAATCAGCTGGATTGCGCTACGCATCATTCGAGGAGACTTGAAAGGCAAGGGAAGGCCCTTGGGGGTCAGATCGCATGTTGTGTATACGGGTGTGTAGAACCAATCTGCTTCCTCAGGATTAAAAGTTCGGACAGCACTTGACAACAGGAACCGGTGCATGAAGATCTCAGCGGCAAACATGTGGTTCAGGCACCTAGGATCCTTCTTCAGCAGCTTCTTGTTGTATTTGCTGGGGAGATCATAGACATAGACCTTGAGCCTCCCAACAGGGTTATCTTCCAACACATCACCAGCGCTTCCTGCATTTTGTAGGCCACAGCATTAGGGCTAGCATGAAAGTGGGGAAAAGAGTATACCTAGCTAAGAAATACACTGAAGCAACGGTATGCTAGCTAGGCAACCTACATGTCTAAAACGAATTGTGCGCCTACGTTAAACTGAACGAATCATGATTATCATCATGTGTCATTCAATGCTCCATGAGTATGATCCTGTTTGTCAAGCTTGATGGGTTAACTGACACTACAGAGTGCATCAGTTGGTCAACCACAAAAATCTAAAGCATGTACACAGAGCGGGAGCTCTCTGAACTGGGGGTATGTATGTGAGCAGTAGCAGGATGTTCGAAAAAAAACGTGAGTTTTAACTGAATTAAGCCAGAACCAGATCAAATAACTATGAACACGACACCAAAGGATCGACCCGCATTCTGCTTATCTGTAACCCAGTAGCATATTAATTCAGGATTCAGTGGCCTAACAGATCAAACCGACATACTAATAGATGCCAAGATTCTTGCTTTGCCCATTAAAATACTAGATGTATGTATGTGTACTACAGGCAAAAAGGACCCTAGAGAAAACGAGCAGCTTGAGTCGTACAAACGCCCTCATCTAGATCAGAAGCAAGATGGAAAGGAACAGAAGCAGAGAGAGGGTCGCGCCGCCGCCGCGTACCTTCGATCCGCTCGGTCTCCTGCGCCGTGACGACGGTGATGTCGGAGCAGGCGAGAAGCAAGGCGAGCCCCAGGGCCAGCGCCCGCGCGCTCCCCGTCCCCATTGATCCTCCCTCCGCGATACCGCCTTCCCTCCCTGCCACTTGACGCTCGGCTGGTCAGGGGAACGGGGAGAGAGATCAAGAGGACGGGGGAAGTAGTAGGAAGCTAGTGGGATGGGATCCTCAGGGTCAAAAGGGATGGCAGGGATGTGTTGGGAGCCTGGAGGCGGCGGTGTGGCTGCCGCTTGCTATGGGTCGCGTAATCTCTCGCTGTCAGCGGAAGAGGGCAGGGGCGGTGGGGGAGGAAGAAGAGACCCCACTCGCAAGCAAGCCAAAGGGGAGGCCTTTTTGGCCTCCTACCAAGCTGTTAGCTGCGTGTGTTTGGTGGTGGAGGGAGAAGGTGAGCGGTGGCTTTCCCTTCTTCCTCCTTGAAAAATTCCAACACACGCGCACTTCTTCAGGAAGAAAAAGGGAACGCGCGCTGTCTCCGTCTGATTCTCCCCGTTTTCCTGCTGCTTTTCCTAATCTTCTTTCCACAAAGCAATGATGGCTTGAGCTGTAGCCTGCTACAGTAATTATAAGTAAATAGACTGATAATGCATCATTGTAAAATGAAAGGAAACTAGTGTAATTTGTGCTCTAACCATGGACGGATGTTTGGTGATCTCGCATCAGATGTCAGGTTTCTTTGCCCTTCCTTTCACCAAACTTTGATGCAGGAGCTCTCACTTGCCATACCTCATGGCAGTCCCAATGAAAGAAACTAGTAGTTTCTATAATATAGGATACCGCACAAAAAAGTACTGTTTTCCAACCCATGTTTTGTATGAGTAATAATTATTTTCCCATTCTTTCTTCTAACTCTATCTTCTTCCTCCAATGGGAGTGCGGCATGAGCTCACTAGAAATTGGTGGTTTCTCCCCAATAGCGATTTCATGGTTTCTTGGTACATTGGGTTAAGAGAAGACCTGATTTCTTTATGAGGTAACCATTTCTATGATTTTTGCTCTCTTTCTTCATTAATTACGTTGCCATGTCAACGTTTTGCCTACGTGGTAAGTCATTTAATGATGATAGAAACCATCATCAATACACCATTGGGACTGCCCTCAGTAGAAGATCTGATAAACAAGTTGAGACTAGACAAGTCTCTTTTTCAACCATTGTTTGATAATTTTTAACTACTCCCTTCGCCCTAAAATAAGTCTCTATCTCATATTTTGAGGAGCCAACCAATCTCTACTTTGACCAAATGTATGCCAAAAAATATTAATATTTGTAATACCAGATAAGCATCATATATTAATCGTGTCATGTAATAAACCTAATTGAGATATAAATGCCGATACTATTTTTCTTAAAACCTAGTCAAAATTGAAGTTGGTTGACTCCTACAAGATTGAGACTTATTTTGGGACAGGTAGAGTATATAGGAGAGCTATTACTATTCGTATATTGCATCTTTCTACCATTGTTTTTAACAGTCTAGTCCCTCCGTTCCCTTTTAACTGTCCTTCTCGCTTTTCGAAAAATCAAACGAATCTAATTTTGATCAAATATATAAAAAATATTAATATTTACATTACATAGTTAGTACTATTAGATATATTATTGAATATATTTTTATAAGAAATTTATTTGGACATACAAATATTGTTAATATTTTTTTCTATAAATCTAGTTAAAGTTAATAACGTTTTGATCAGCACGTAAACCATAGCAATAAATAATTAGAGACAGATGGAGTATAATTTTTCTTTTAAAAAATATACTCGATTGTGTATGGACTACTAACTAATCACTATTTTTAAATCTATATGAGCTGCTTTTAAATAAGGGTGTGGTTGCTCTACGCAGCCACAGCCCACGGTTGCAGGTACACAAATCGAGCAGTAGCAGCGGTAGGTCCTGCGCAACAATCACAAACTAACATGTCCAAAACGAACCATGGTGATTGGGATTGTTCCTGTGCACGTGGGTCATGCATGCATGATGGGTCATGGCTCATGACTCGCAAGGACTTTTTTTTTGGCTTATAATAATTGCAGCCAAAGAATGTGGTCGATCCAATGATTTCCTCTTTTATTTGTTTATTTATATATAAAAATATACTGGAAACAGGAAAAAGACAAAGGCACTACTCAACAGTACTTTTTTCAATAAAAAAACAATATTTTTCTCTAATAACAAATCTGCATAGGCTAAATTTCAGCTAAACGAACAGGCTTCGTCAGCATTCCAATTTCCAAAATCGTGTTCGTGTCGTCACAGCGACAATGCCCTGTTCTTTCGCTGCTCCCAAAATCGTTCCTTGTGTGGTTCATTCCATCTCTAAAAAAAAATACAACACAAACGCAAACATTTAGTACATGCAGAGTGTGAACACACCCCAAACTCGGCGACGGTCGATGTTGTTAACTGCTGCCTAATGAAATGCGCTCTTGAAAATTGAAACCACCACATGCTTCGGTCCGGTTTGACTTTGGGTCTACGAGTTTGGTCGTGGTGGCAGGCAGGCATGAAACAGTGACATGCTGTGCAATCTGCACTGCATAGCTAGCGTCGGTGAGGTATAGGGCAGGCAGGCCGTGGCACTGCAATGGCGCGCACGTATTTTAGGCAGGCAGACGTGGATGGTGCCGGAACAATGTTAAGCTGGATGCATGAACTAGGGTGCAGGGATAATAATTGAAGTACTCCCTCCAGTACATGTCATTCTCGTTTTTCGAGAAATCAAATACTTTTAACTTTGACTAAATATATATAAAAATTTATTAATATTTATAATATATAATTAGTATCATTAAGTAGATCGTTGAATATACTTTTATAATAAACTTATTTGAAGAAATAAATGTTGCATGTATTTTCTATAAATCTAGTTAAAGTTGAGAAAGTTTAATTTGCACGTATGCCATAACGACTTCTATTTTAAGACGGATGAGTAACCTCATCAGAGTCAACTGTGTCAGTTGGAGATGACGACAACCATTCATGCTTTGGGATGCCTCTGCCGCGCTACAAGGACATGGAGCCAGCATGGATGCATTGACCAGGGTGCAGGATAGCTAACTTACCTTATCAGAGTCAACTGTGTCGAATGCAGATGAAGCTTTTTCTTTTAAGCTTCGGCGCCCAAAATCTTCTTGGTGAATCACCGGTTCTCTGTTGTCAGAACGTGGGATTTCTGCTAGGCAAGAATCACAGACCAGGTTCGGGTCTTCGGGATGCGACGGGCTACTTGCTGATCAGATGGGCCTCTCTATGCGCGTGGGGACAACCGATCCATCAGCAGCAGTGAGGCTGCACAAGCCGCGTCTTTTGGGCCTGAACCCGTCCAGCCCAATGTGTTTATCACATAGCTATTCTTTCGTCGTACATAAAAAAAATCCACATTATCATCCTTAACTTTTGCGAAAGTCTATTTTTCCTCCCAGAACTCTAAAATCGGGTAAACCACCTCCCTAAACTTTTAAAACCGTTCGTTTTACCTCTTGACCGGTTACAAGTAGTTTTCGAAGGTGGTTTTGTCTTTTATTTATTTATTTATTTCGGCAGGATCTTTGAAAAATCACAGTAAATCATAAAAAAGAAAATTTAATTTTGTTGGACTCCACATGAGTAGATCTACACAATGAAGATACTTTTAACAAGCATACACCTAAATAAATAAATCTATAACTAAAGTATACATGATCCAATGAATATGAAATTTTTACTACAGTTCAAGCATACAATAATTAATCCACCATAATTGGACCATAGAAACTACAGCTATGAATTAATTATAGAAAAGCTTAAATCTAAAGCTACAGAAAAAAAAATATACTAAAACATACCATATTATATGTTCACTGTGTAGATTTACTTATGTTAAGTCCAACAAAATTAGATTTTTCATTTTATGATTTTTTTGTGATTTACTATGATTTTTCAAAGATTCAGCCAAAATAAATAAATAAATAACAAAACAGTCTTTGAAAACCGTTTATATAACTTGCCAAGAGGTAAAATGAATGGTTTTAAAAATTCAGAAAGTGGATTTTCGAGTTCAGGAGGAAAAGATACATATGCCGGCGGACATGCCCGTCGGCCCCCTGATCAGAGCGCCATGAGCCCATGAGCCAACATTGCCGCCGTACAGCTCGGCGCCAAACTTTCCGACCTCCGCCATCAGTCCATCACCTCACCTCCACGGAATTTATCTCGCGCGCGTCCAGGTCAAGTGGTGTGCAGAAACCCAAAAGTCTCTGTACAAAAGTTGAGGCAATCTGATTGCAATTCTAGCTTTTATAAACACTATTCCCAGAGTGCATTGCATCATGTCACCCTTCTAACGTTGTCATGACAAGTACGATACAACTCACCCAATGTATAGTATCATCACAGTGTTGTTAATTAGAAGGCTCCAAACAATTACTTCCTCCGTTTCAAATGATAAGTCGATTTTTTCGTTACATCGGATTTACTATGTATCCAGATTTATATTATATCTAGATACATAACAAATTTGATGTACCAGAAAAGTCAAAGCAACTTATATTTAGAACGGAGGAAGTAATTATATACTCTCTCCGTTTCAAATTCTAAAGACGTTTTGGTTACGTATCTAGAAAAAAGTCAAAACCTCTTATAATTTGAAATAGAGGGAGTATATAATTTCTATGACAATAAGCCAAGGATTGTGCAAGATTTTTCTAACCTTGAATGTTACGATCAAGCTGTATCTTGAAGATGATACTCCTCCCTCTGTCAAAAATAGAACTCGTTCTCGCTTCTCGAGAAGTTAGCTTTTTTTTTAACTTTGACCAAATATATATAAAAGAGTATTGATATTTATAATACATAATTAGTATCATTAGACAAATCGTTGAATATACTTTTATAATAAACTTATTTGAAGATATAAATGTTGCACGTATTTTCTACAAACCTAGTCAAAGTTGAGAAAATTTGACCTACACGCACCCCATAACACATGCCATAACGACTTTTGTTACGAGACAGAGGGAGTATATACGTAACTTTTATATCGTATCCTATAACGACTTCTGTTATGGGA